CACTCTTTCTGCCCTTCTGCTGATGCCTTTCAATGCTTTCTGGGAATTGAGCACCTCCTGAAAAAAACAGTCCAGTTTTATGCAATTGTGACTTCTGTTTGCACTGATCAGTTGTTCAAGGAATTTGCTGAGAGAGGTAGTGGTCTTTAGGGTGGGAAACCTATGACCTTCTTCTCCTCCTTCCTTTGTTAGGAATTAAATCCACAGACCCAACTGACAAGTGTTCTTCCCTCCAATTGGCTCTTGGAGAGCCTGGCTTCTTTGCTTCTGCTCTTTTTTTTGAGCAGTCTCCTCCAGACTGCATCCTGGCTGCACAGGAAGGCAGGAATTCTCAAACATTCTTTTTTCCCCCCTCCAGATGCGCCATGGCTGCTTTCTGGTGAACACAGCCCGTGGGGGGCTGGTAGATGAGAAGGCCTTGGCACAAGCCTTGAAGGAAGGGAGAATCAGAGGAACAGCACTGGATGTGCATGAGTCTGAACCCTTCAGGTAACACTGCAGCCACATACCTACTACCATCCTGGGGCTCTTCTGCACTGGTTTCAATTGGGTGGTTGTTACACTTGGGGGGGACAGACAGGGAATTTCACTTTCCAGCAGAAACCACATGTTTGTTTTTCCGTCATAGCTTTGCTCAGGGGCCCCTCAAAGATGCTCCCAATGTGATCTGCACCCCTCACACAGCCTGGTACAGTGAGCAGGCTTCCATTGAGTCCAGGGAAGATGCAGCTAAAGAGATCCGCAGAGCTATCACAGGTAACCGGAGAGGTCAGGTCTGCCTGGTGCTCTGCAGCTGCTGCTGGGATGGGAGTGATTAATTGATTTCCTGAGTCAGTGCTATGACGCAGTAACTCCTGACTGTTTTGTTAAAGCTAGGTCTGCTGGGATGGTGCTCGCTGACTCATTTCTAGAGCTGGAATACAAGTCATGGATTGTCTTTGACTTATGAGGGACCTATAACTAATGCTGGAGAGAGATTCTTTACTGCATTGTGCTCCCATTTTCTGCTGGGAGCATTTGTGTCCAATATCTTCTGTGAAAGGTGGGGACAGGCAATGCTACACAAGGAGCCACTGAGGTCCCGGGGATGGGGAGGGATGATTGATTCATTGAGTATAAGTTCCTTTGAGACTTAGTGCGTTGTGTGTAGGGTCTTGATTTAGATCTCTCCCCACCTCTCTCCTATGGTACTGAGGTAGGAGGCGCTGTTAGGGTCCCTTCTTTACTGCTTTCATGTGCAAATCCTTGGGCATCTGCACTTGCTGTTTGTCTCCTACTATCCTCTGCCCTTGGTGTCACCACAGGTCACATACCTGATACTTTGAGGAACTGTGTTAATAAGGAGTATTTGCTGTTAGCTGCTCAGTGGTCCAGTATTGATCCTGCAGCTGTCCATCCAGAACTCAATGGAGCTGCGGCTTACAGGTGAGAGAAGTAGGCCTTCTGAGTTCTTGTTTAATGTGCAGGTCATTTACTCATGGTTATCTAATACATAAAGACCCCAGCATCCTGTGTAGAGACCTTTCTTAGGCCTCTGAAAATTGCTTTTCCCAGGCAGCATATCTCTTACAAGATGAATGGTGGTGAGTTTTCTTCAGAAATCTGTCAGCTTTGGTTCTTTAGTTGGCCCACAAGCAATAAGGTGCCCTCTGAAAGTAAAGTGATGGTTTGTACCAGCTCTGGGAGTTCAGGAATTGTGGCTCATGTAATTCACTTTCCGGGCATCAGTCCTGCAAGGATTTTGAACGGTTAAGTGACAGAGGGACCTGTTTGTATGTGATAGCTTGTTGAGTCCATGAAAAGGGATCTGACTCCTGGGAATGAAGAAGTTCTGCATCTCAGCATGGAATTATTGTCTGCATACAGCATTCTTACAGAGCAGTCATGAGGTGAGGGAAAATGTGAGGCATCACAGTCCAGTGGATTGGGCAGAAGACTAAGAATAGGTTTCTGGGGTTTTATTTTTTGGCCCCAAACTTGTGTGATCTTGGGCAGATAGTTTCTCGGGGAAATGAGGTAATGACTCACCTCTTGGAACTGAGCACTGTGACTGACTGGGCCGGGTCTGGGCACTGCTGAGGGCGTCTGCTCAGAGCGAATTGCTCAAACTTGGGGCTCCGTACAGCTCCTGACTGGAGACCTTCCCAAATAGGTCACAAACCAGTCACACTGAGCGCTCCAGCTGCCCATCTGGCCAGCCTCAAGCCTCACGAGCAAAACCACTCTGACTCTCCAGCTCCCTCTGTGCCGCAATCAGCCCCGGGCCTAACACACAGGTGAGGGGTTATAGAACCCAATCTCACCTACCCCCAACGGGTTCTTCCGGTCCCAAGAAACCAGCCACAGGTCCCAGGTCAATTTACACTCTGGATCTTACTCACAAGATCACGCTGGGCCAGATACTGTGTACAGATGTGGTCTCCTCACCTCAAAAAAGATATTTTGGCCTTGGAAAGGGTTCAGAAAAGGGCAACTAAAATGATTAGGGGTTTGGAACGGGTCCCATATGAGGAGAGGTTAAAGCGACTGGGACTTTTCAGTTTAGCAAAGAGGAGAGTAAGGGAGGATGTGATAGAGGTATATAAAATCATGAGTGGTGTCGAAAGGGTGGATAAAAAAAGTTATTAGTTCCCATAGTAGAAAAACTAGAGGACACCAAATGAAATTAATGGGTAGCAGGTTTTAAACTAATAAAAGAAAGTTCTTCTTCACACAGCGTGTAGTCAACCTGTGGAACTCCTTGCCAGAGGAGGCTGTGAAGGCTAGGACTATAACAGAGTTTAAAGAGAAGCTAGATAATTTCATGGAGGTTTGGTCCATAAAAGGCTATTAGCCAGGGGATAGAATTGGTGTCCATGGCCTCTGTTTGTCAGAGGCTGGAGAAGGATGGCAGGAGACAAATCGCTTGATCATTGTCTTCAGTCCACCCTCTCTGGGGCACCTGGTGCTGGCCACTGTCAGCAAACAGGCTACTGGGCTAGATGGACCTTTGGTCTGACCTAGTACGGCTGTTCTTATGATTGTGGTGGTCGAGGAAATTGAGTGGTGCACCACAATCATTCCTTTTGTGCCTGCATTTTCTTACAGGCCTGGATGCTCTAGGCAGCCATTTGTGCTTTTTGCTGCTTATTATTCTTTTGTTATTCTCAAAGAGTGAGCTGTTTGCTCAGGATAGTACAGTGTAGGAATGTACCGTTGACGTTCAACAAAAACTGGGACAGGTCCCAAAGCCAGCCACTTGGCATGGGAGTACAGGAGGGCTTGGGAAGATCACATAGCTATCTTTGCTGAATGTTTCCCACCTGATAATGCTAATTATTTAGCCTGGGAGAATATGCAAAGTATCAACAAGCTAATTATTGGATGTGGAAAAATATGCAATGTATCAACGATCTTGTTAGGTTCTCAAAACAACAGATGTGATTACTGTAGATCCAACAGTATGTAAGTGCCAGGGATATTCCTAACACTGGAACCTCAGTGTAGTCCAAAGCCGCAGAAAATGCTTTGCACTGGCCACTGGGGTCTGTCCGCTGTCCTTCTTCTGGGGGTTCCCGGCAGCAGAAGGGACGTAGGCATTGCATTTTATTCTGAGGTTTGCTTAGGCTTAATAAGCATTGTACTTTCTTAATAGTGGTAGAAATGTAGCCGTGTTAGTCTGGTGCAGCTGAAACAAAAAACAGGACTGTGTAGCACTTTAAAGACTAACAAGATGGTTTATTAGGTGATGAGCTTTCGTGGGCCAGGTAAATGTCTGTGAGCTAATGATATTAGAGGTGATAATTGGGGAAGCTATCTTTGTAATGGGTAAGATAATTAGCATCTTTATTCAAATTTGAGTGTAAAGTGTCACATTTAAGCATGAATGACAAAACTGGAAGTGTTTTGACTTCGGGCTCAGGTTCTGGCCCAGATGAAAGCAAAAGACAATCTGCTGGTGGGGGATGGGGATAGGCATGGGCAGCAGGTGAAGGCCTAGCTGGGGAAGGCAAGTCCCAGCCCTGCTCCTTCCATCTGGGGCTCCGCCCCTGGATCTGAGTACCACCCACCTTTAGCCCCATCCTTCCTGGTCACCTGGAGGACCAGGGTTGTAGTGCTGCATCCCTGACCCCAGCCTTCTCTAGTGGTTGTGGGAGCCGGGCTGCCATGCCGCAGCCCCAGCCTAACCTGGAGGCCAGGGAGCCGGGCTACTGTGCTGCAGCCCTACCCCGTGGCCAGGCATGTAGGCAGTTTTGGGAAGTCTGTGCCCTCCCTCACCTGCATGACCAGCCACCCATGGGGATGAGGTAATCAGTCCCTTGTACAGATGGGAACAGTTGACTGCTTGGCTTCAAAGCTTAGGGAACTGTGAGAGAAGCCAGTTGGCCGGGCCCCAACAACCCCGTGGGGAGGATGCAATCACTCAGATAAAGGCTCAGAGCAGCTCCATGTTAAGGGAGCCCTCAAGTCTCATGCTATTCCACCGGCATTTGCCAGTGTGGCTGATTTTGGGAGCTCAGCCGAATTTTCAGAAGTACCGAGCATTTGCAGCTCACTTGGAGTTGCCAGGCACCTCAAAGGGCACACACAATCCTGGAGGTTTTATTTTCATATGTACAAATGTCTGCTAGTAAGAACAGAAACTGTGAACACCTGGTTAGCCCTTCCTCTTTCACCCCATGCCTCTGGGAGCTCCATTTGGTTTGTGATCTAGTTCAGTGTTTCTCAACCTTTTTTTATAAAGTACCCCCAGTACCTACAGTTTTCAGACACCATTTTTTTCTACCATTGCAACACATTTGTTTAAACAACTTCATCGTAGCTGGGCAGGCGATTACATTTTTGGGTGTAAAAAGGACAAAAATAATAAAGCACTGTAAAACTTAAAACAAATTCCATTTTCTCCAAATTTCAGTGGTGTTGACGTACCCCCCAGGCTTATTCTCTGAGAGTACTCGTACTACTGATTGAGAGACACTGGTCTAGTTCGCAGTAAGGGGCCCATCATTGGTCTGGAATTCACAATCCCTGCCCAGGCTCCAGGGAGCAAGCAGTGCTGAGTCTTGTTGCAGCATACGCTTCCGGCCATGCTGTCCTAATTCTTCTACTGGGGGAGGGAGGGTGTAGAGCCAGACCTCACCTTCTTCCTGCCCCCTCCCACCCTCCTGCATGAGTGGGGAACAGAGCTACAGGGCTCAGTCCCATCCCCCTGAAAAGGCAGTAAGTATCAAGGGGTGCATATTATTCCCTCCCCCTCCCTTGTGCAGGCACACAGAGACTGGGCGTGTGTTTAGAGAAAGACAGTTGTTTGTCTGACAGCCTTAATCCTCTGAGCGCAACCAGGAACAGATTCTTGTAGAACTGCAGGGTGGCAGCTGTAACATGAGTAGCTTTGTGCTTTGCCTATTCTAGACCTGGTTTAGCATCCTGTCTTATCTAGGATGGCTTCTGTTCAGTTGGAAAGGTGCCCAGAGGCCCTGGTTAGTGTGTGTGACACAAGAGTTAGTGACTTCCGCTGTTTATTACAGAACACAGAAATTCTGAGCTTGGCTCCTCCCGTTGAACCATCTGCTCCAGGTGGCTTCCCCCCTCCTCAGGAGAAGTCACACGGCTCCCACCTCTGCTGGTCTTTGCTCTCCTGACCCCAGCAGGCAACTCCCCAGTCACCATAATCAATCCGCCTCTGTGAGAGGCAGCAGCCTTGTCAGCAGGAGACACTCTGCCCTGACATAGACCTGTTCACGCTGGCGCTTAGGTCAGCATGACTTGCCTCGCTCCATGGAGCGGCTTATTCACACCCTGAGGGACCGGAGTTATGCAATTGGAAGTGTGTCCAGCCCTTCAGGCAGAGGAGATGAAGATAAAAGGGCCTGCAGGCAAGGGTGGGCATAGAGCAGGGGTGGCCAACCTGCGGCTCACGAGCTGCATGCTGCTCTTCACCCTGAAAGTGTGGCTTGCAATGCCTCCCCTGTGGCTCGTTAAGCCGCCCATGCACCCCTATAAAAAGCCCCTGGCCTCCGGCTCCCTGTGCTCACTGGGTGCAGGGGAGCCGTCTGATGCGGCAAAAACGTGTCGGCAAGATGGTGGTGGCTGGTGGGAGCCTGGTGTGGCCAAAAAGTCTAACCCCATGGTTTTTAAAGTGGCAGCATCTTTTTTTTTTTCCTCTGGTGTGGCTCTTCGCATTTTTTCCACCGCTATTTCGGCTCTCTTCGTTGAATGGGTTGACCACCCCCAGCATAGAGGAACAGGAGGGAGCAGAATGGCAGAGGAAGTTCTGCTCCTGCTCTCTAGGATGGCCAGCCCTCGCAGTCTCCTGGAACTGGGCTCGATCTCCCAGAGGCTACTGAAGCCAACTTGGGAGATTAGCCACAAAACATCCAGTAGCACAGGAGGGATAAGGCCTGACCCGGCCCCTGCGCTGCTTCCAGAAGCAGACAGCATGTCCCTGTGACCCCTAGGTGAGGGGCACAAGGGGTCTCCACCCATTGACCCCACCCTGAGCAATGACTCCACGGCTCCCAGGAACTGTAGCTAACGGGAGCTGCAGTGGAAGTGCCTAGAGACAGGGGCACCACATAGAGCCACCTGCCCTCCTCCATCTAGGGGCTGCCGGGGTTTGCTGACTGTTTCTGGGAGCAGCGTGGGGCCAGAGCATGCAGGGAGCCTGCCTTAGCCCTGCTGCGCTGCTGACTGGCACTGGAGCCTGCTCCCGACCCCCTTCTGCACCTTAGGCTCCTTCCCCAACCCTGACTTCCCTTGTAGAGCCCATCCCAAGCACCCTCCTCCACATCGGAACCCCCTGCACCTGTCCTGAGCGCCTTCCTGCACGCAAGCTCCCTTCCAGAGCCTGCACCCCCTCCTGCATCTCTCTTCAGCCCAGCGCCACAGCCCCTGCTGCACCAGCCCTGAACACCCTCCCATGCTGCATCCTCACCCTTTGCCCAAGGCTCAGCCCAGAGCCCCCTCACATGCACCAAGCCTCTCGGACCCAGCCCGGAGTCCACACTCCCTCCCACACTTCAACCGCCTGTCCCATCCTGGTGAAAGTGAATGAGAGTCGGGGTGGGAGAGCAAGTGAAAAGAAGGGGGGGGGAGGCTTGAGTGAGTGGGGGAGGGGCTTTAGCGAGGGGGTGGGGGTAGGGCCTCAAGGACGGGAGGGCAGAGACAGAGCAGGAGTGTTTGGGTTTGTGTGTGTAGTCTTCTTACTAAAGATGCTTATTCTCTGGGCTGCAATCTAGCCTAAGAGACTACAATTCCCATGAGTCCTGGAGGAAACGAGGAAAGAAGTGACTCTTTGTTTTGGGTCCAGGGTCTCTCCATGTGTGTGAAGAGAAGCTTAGCAGTCT